CTGCAGTGTCTTGCTACCCCCTGCCTGACTAGCTGCAACTGTATACAAAAAACTGCAAAGTATTTCTTAGAAAAAACTAAGCATCAGAATAGATGCCTCTATCCTAGAAGGAGTGGAGGTCCTGAAGTCTCATGGGTCAAACCAGATCCCAGAGTGGCCATCTTGTAAGGAAGCTGCATGTAAAACCCAGGCCCTTCCCCATTGCTCTTTCCCCTCCAGGTCAACCACTCCCCCAGCTTCACCACTGACTCCCGCCTGGACCGTGAAGTGAAGGATGCCCTGCTCTGCGATGCCATCAATCTTATCAACCTGCGTGCTTGTGACAAGAAGAAGGTGCTAGAAGAGGACAAGCGGCGGGTGAAGGAGCGCCTCCTCCAAGCCCACCAGCCGCCCCGAGAAGCCAGGTAACCCTGGGAGGGGCCCAGCCTGACTGTGGCTGTACTAAGTGCCTCCCTTGCCCTGGCCATGCTGCCTCCTTCTCCCCCAGAAACAGCTTTTCCTGGCTTCGCGTTCAGAGATGCCCAATACCCAGTCCCTGCAGCCTTGTCAGGTTGCACGTTAGCCTCCAACCACCACGAGGGAGGGGAGAAAATGGAGCAAGGAGCCAATCAGATGGGTTTGCCTTTATTTCTATGGCCCTGTAATGGGCCATGTGGCAGTGCAGGAGTCCTGGATCCTGGCATGTGGGTCATTGGTTGCCTTGGCTGAAGCTGTGCAACACCCCATGCAGACAAGGTGGGGGAGCGGGGGGAAGAGAGGGAGGAAAGTGGCTTGGGTACCAGTGACAGGGGAGGCCAAGGGGGACTCGGAGGACAGCAGTGCCCATTAGTCTCTCCCTCCCCGGCAGAACCTAGGATTTCTCTGCTGCCGGGGCCCCAGCCTGAACTCTCTCAATCTGCAGGCGGGAGCAGTTGGAGAGCAGTCAGGCCGCCTGGTTGGCCCAGGCCGAGAAGTACGAGAGCAGCCACCTGGGTGGCTACCGAAAGATCTTCCCATCACGGGGCACAGAGAAGTACAACCCCTTCTTCAAGCACAGTGGATCCCTCTTCCAAGAGACTGTGGCCTCCAAGGCCAGGGAAGAGTGTGCCAGGTAGGGCAAGGGGAAGCCATTCCTCACAGGGCAGGCTGAGCCAGGCCTAGTCCTTGCATGTACACACACATGGACATGCAAAAGAAGGATGACACACCCACACACAATGTCTTGTGTCTTCTGTCAGGCAACAGCTGGAGGAGATTCGCCAGAAGCAGGAGCAGAGGGAGAGTACAGCTGCGAAGAAGAAGAGGGATGTGAAGGAGAACTTGCAGGGGGAGTCAGCAGGGGAGAAGGGGAAGGGCAAGCCAGCCCTAACTCGCATAGCCTACAGCCACAGCAAGACCTGGAACCCAAAGGTAGCTCATGGGGGAGTGAGGAGCAGCTCTTGAGTCCCTCCCTCTTCTAACACCAGGGAGGAGGAAGGACTTTCAAGGCCAGCTGCTGCACCTAGAGATGGAACTATTCTACTTTAGGAGCCTGGTGAATGTTTCTTTTTTTTTAACTTGCATGGTTTAAATCTTCTGCCTGCCCCAGGGAAAAGTGAGAGATCCCATAGTCCCACCCCAGCCTCCCTACTCCTTTCCATAGCTATTGCCCTCATATATTCAGCCATAAATGCAAGTAGCCTCTTTTTGCTGGAACTGAGTTTGCAGTTCTGAGGGAGCCAGTGGCTTTCCACATGCAGTGCAATTGCAGAAGGGTCATTTTTTGCCTTTGGGCAACCTGGAGCTTGAAAGAGCCAGACCTGGCGATAAGGGCGGGCCTTGTGCTTTGTCTGGCATGGCTGCAGAGGAGCTGGCCAGAGGGCTCTGTGGGATACAAGCTGCAGGGCAAAACAAGATCTGGGGGCTAAAGCTGGAACACAGCGTCCTCAATCTTGGCCTTACCGAATTAGATCTGGTTTTGCTTCTTATGTGGAGAAGCAGGTGTGTTGTTTTGTTTTCTGTAAGCTGCTTGGTGAGCTATTGAGGATCTAAATATCTAAAATGAGCCCAGCTCCTCTTCTCAAGTCTGACCCAGGCTGCCTTTTCCCCTAGATATCCTCCATACCATATGACAGCATGACCCCCCAGGCCATTGTGGAGGAAGAGGAAGTGGAGAGGGTCAAAGCCCTCCTACGGAGGGAGAACCTCATCCGAGGGCTGGGCATCGTCGACCAGCTGACACGCCTGCTCCGCAACACGGAACCCAAGCCTGTGGAGGTCCAGAGGCCACACATTAACATCTCAGAAAGCCAGGTATGCAGGTGCTGTTTCCAGACCCCAAAACACACACTGGGTGGAAAGTCTTGGAGGAGATCTCTCTCCAGCAAAGGAGGAGGGTTGGAACAAACATTGTTCCCTGCCTTTGGAGGGAGCTGGGTTCCTGCTCCTGCCTTGCAATCAGCCTGCCTTGCTCTCCGGCTTTGTTCTCTGCCTGCAAACCAGAAATCCTTCTGACTAGTCTGAAAGGGCCAACTGTTGTGCCTTACCAAGGCTACGAAAATGTTTAATGGCTGGTTTGGGGAAACATGACCAATGGGGAGTGGATGCCTGCCATTCCCTTTGGATGTGCTATGTGGGTCTTTGTAAAAAAGCGGTCAGTGTGGGAGGGGACACCTCAAAACCTGACAACAGCCACAGGTGACTCCTGTAGGGTCCCCTTTCCAAGCCTCACCCTGCTGCTTTTTTCTTCCAGCCTCACTTTCTCCAGGATATGTTTAATAACCGAGAGCCACAGAATCTGATGACCCTCGTCCCCCTCTCCCTCCTAGGGGGCTCCGTCCAGGAGCTGGGGCAGCAGATTATGCAGCAGCAGCCCACAGCCCGTGTCCAACTACTGGGAAACCAAGGCTTCATCCCAACCATTTTGGGTGCCCTGTCGGGCTTGGGCTCGTCTTCCCATGAGTCCTATTCCACACACTTCAAGCCGCAGCTCCACATCCAGCCCCCCAAGAACATGAGCTGGTTGGGTGCGGCCATGGTGGGCGAGCCGGGTTCTCTGGCCCGGATGCTGAAGGCAGGAGGGCGCCGGTTTGGCAGCGCCAAGAACAAGCTGGACGTTGGTGAGTATTGTGGGTGAGAGCCTTGTGGTCCTCTGGTGCTGCCCCAGTTGCTCCACGACCACTGCCAGCAGCAGCAGGAGGGTTGAGACACCAGGAAATGTAACCTTTCCCTGTCTGCGTGCTCAGGAACCCCAAGACTCGGGAACAGGGGCAACATGAGGGCCACAGCCTGCAGTGGAGACAGGGCAAGCAAGTATCTTGGCAGGTGTGTCCAGCAGTGGTTCCAAGGGGCAGCCAGACCACTGAGGAGCAGGGAGCACAGGCGGTCTTCTTCAGCACCACCACCTCCTCCTCCCTCCCCCAGCATGTTGCTTGCCCTACAGGCATGGAGCCCGGCCACCCATGCCTCTCTCCTCCTCCTCTTTCAGGCAGCCCTGCAAGCAAGCGGCCCCTGTACATGAGCTCCGGTTCCCTGAACTGCCTGTCACACGGTGGCAAAGCTACCAGCCACATGTACAGCAGCTTTCCCTTCCCCTCTGCGGCAGCTCCGCTAAACCGCACTGACCTGCGTGGACTGGCCATCAATTCTGCGTCTGCTCCACTCATCCGGCGCACCAGCCCACACCGCTCCAGCAACATGGCCACTCTGCATCTTAACCAGCCCAGGTAGCCTCCTCATCCTAGGTCCGCTCAGGCAGCAGCAGGATGGACCCTGCTAAGAAGGTCCTCCAGCCAAACTTCCTCATGATCTCCTTGTCTTTCTCCTCCCCCAGGAAAGGCACTTGACTTGACCTCTTGGCGGAACAGCAATCCAGGAGCCAGAAGAGCTGGGGGACTTTGCTGCTGCGGCCTGTGCCAAGAGGGGCAGTAGAGGAAGTGAAGCCCCTGCCCTGTGGAGGCAGTGGCAGCAGCAGCAGTGGCCTGGTGCCATGGCCCTGGGCACAACACATCCACCCCAGCCAGGCAGTTGTCCAGGAGCCCCTTGCCAACCTACTCCTCCATGCCAAATTCATTTCCCCCTTTCCCCACTCCAAAGCAGCAGCAACAAATTCTAATAACAGTATTAGACATCTTTGGCCGTGCCCCCACTTCCTCCATGCCAACTCCCCTGCCGCCAATGCCAGTCAGCCTGCCAAAGGCCAGGTCCCAATCCTGAAGAGCACTATGGGCTGGGAACGGAGTTTCTTTTGTAACCGACTTTGTATTAAAGTTTTATACGGTTATACAATCTGGGGTCTCTCTCTCTCCTTTGACTCACAAAGCACAGCATCTTGTTCTCCCAGCAGCCACCGTCTTTGCTGGGAGCAGGAACAGGGACTTCCTTACCCCCAAAAAAGTTTTTATCCCTCTCTCATAGCACTAGAGCTTGCAGACACCCAATGAAGCTGAATGTTGGAAGACAAAAGGGTGTCCAGCACAAAGTGCAGAGTTAAAACTATGACACTCCCTCCCGCAGGAAGCACTGATGGCCACTGAATTTGATGGCTTTAAAAGAGGATTAAACAAATTCATGGAGGAGAGGACTATCAATGGCTACTAGCCACAGTGCCTATGCTCTGCAGCCATAGTTGGAGGCAGCAATGCTTCTGAATACCAACTGCTGAAACCACAGGAGGGGAGAGGGCTCTTGAGCTCAGATCCAGCTTGCAGGTTTACCATGAAGGCATCTGTTTGGCCACTGTGGGAACAGGATGGTGGGTAGATCCAGCAAGCTCTTCAAAGAGGCAGAGGAATACAAAGAATTCATTGTTCTTTGCCCTTCATCATACTTGAATTTCAGTGAAAGGGATGCAAAGGGGGCCATGGGTGTAGGCAGGGAAGCAGCTGCCCCCTAAATCAAGTAAATAAATAAAAATACTTACGGTAACTGACCAATCGTATGGCAGATAGCTCGGTTCTCCCCCCCCCCCCCATAAATCCTGGCTGTGCCCATGGATGGGGGCTCTACTATTTACTTCTAGGCAAACTGTGGCAGACCCTACCCCACCCAGGGCTAGCCTCCTGGGTGGGATGGAAAGCATAAGCCTCCAGGCCCACAAGGTTTACAGGGGGGAAACGGGATGGACCTTATTTCAGGGGTAGAGTATCCAGTTTGCATGCAGCAAGTCCTAGGTATATTCAGTGAAAGACTCTCCTGAAGAGCCGCTGCCAGTCTGTGTAGACAACACTGTACTGCAGGAATTCTGCATCAGGCCATTAGCTCCGAGGCGCGCTTTTCCTACTGAAACTCAGATGGGCTAAACTCGGCCTCCGTGGCGCCCGTTCCGGATTGCGCCCGCCTTCCGGAAGAGCCCGGCCCGCCCCCACGTGCTCCTAGGCGGCGTGGCCTCGCCAGTCTCTTTCCTCTGAGCTACAATGGCCGGGTCTGGACGCTTGGTGGGTCTGAGGCGGGTGGCTGCTCGGCTGGCGGCGAGAGAGGCAGAAGGCAAACTGCCCGAGGAGCAGCCGGAGGTGGAGCAGGAGGTGGAGAGGTAGGGCCCGATCCCTCGACAGCTTCCCTCCCTGGCCCAGGAGCTCGCCTGCCCGAGACGCTCATCTCTCTCTCTCCCCGCCGACAGGTTGCTGAAGCGCCAGGAGAAGGCGATCCGCCTGCGAAAAATGCAGAGGCTGATGGAACCGCGCGGGCCCCCTGAGCGCACCTTGACCCGCCAGGCCATGGAGCAGATCCGGTAAGAGCGGAGGCCAGGGAGGTCGACCTCAGGGAAGGTGGCGGCGGCGGAGGAGGAGGAAGGGGAGCCCCGACGGCAGCTCGCGACGAGCCGCGTCTCTCTCTCTCTCTCCGCCCCAAGCGGGGCGCGGGCGACGCTTCTCCAACGCGCTCCTGCAACTTCTCTTTCTCCTTTTTGCGCCAGGTACCTGAGCCAGGAGCTGCCGGAGGAGTGGCCCGTCTCCCGCCTGGCGCGGAGCTTCCAGGTGGAACCCGGGGTCGTTCTTCGAGTCCTCCGGAGCCGCTTCTCCCCTTCACCGGAGCGGAGAGCTAAGCAAGACGCCAAGGCCGCCGCCGCTGTGGCCTCGACCCCCGAAAGCAGCGCCCGCCCCAGGATCGTCGTTGCCACCGAGGCCGCCGGCCGTCTACTTTCCGCCCCTGGCGCTGCGGCGGCGCTCTCCCGGCCAGTCGCCCCCAGGGCGGCACGTGCGGGCCCCTCTGCGCCGGAGAAGCAGCAACAAAAGCAGCAGCAGGAGGAGGAGGAAGAAGACGAGGAGGAGGAAGGTCGGGGTTGGCGGGGGCCGAGCCCGGCGGAGCTGGAAGCGATGGTGGCTGAGGGCACCTGGGAGTCCCAGCTGAAAGTCGTGCAGAAGGGCCGAGAGTTCTTCGACAGCGATGGGAACTTCCTCTACAGGCTTCCCCAAACCCAGCAGGCCTGAGCATCTGGCAGTGCTGGAAGGCACTGGCCTCTTTTTGCATGTCAAGGGCAATACCTTGTCTGGATTGTCCCTGTAGCTAAAATGGCCACATCCAGCTCCTAAAAAGGGGGTGGGGTCCTGTTGTGGTGGAAAGTGTTGTGGCGCCCCTCCTCACTAGAGTCAAAAGCTGGGACTTCCTGCTCAGATTCTGCTCCCAGGCAGCTAGGAGAACTCTGCTGCCTGCAGTACAAGGGACCATCCTTGCCTAGGCTTTTTCTGTCTGCTCAGAGCAGAATCATCAAGCATTGAGAGGTGGACACCAGGCTTATATAAAGGGTCCTGCTGAGTTTCGCCTTTACAAAGTGCTGTGATGCAGGTGGTTAGAATTTCCCTTGGACACATGCAGATGAGAGACTCAGAAAGAGCCATGTGGCCCTGCAGGGACTCAGCAGTAGTGACTGCAGCAACAGCAGCAAGGTCTCCCAGGCCTATGAAAGCAAGTGCATGATGATAAGCCTCCATGCCTTTCTGAAAGCATTTTGGAAGGGATTAATAGCTTGGGATTCTTAAAGTTCCTCAGATGCCTGCTACCCCTTCTTGAGAGGAAGCCCCAGCCACATACTATGAAAAGCAGGTTGGGGAAGCTCACTTACTCTTTTAGTGTAGAAGTTGGTAGGTTGTTGCTTGGTTTTTTTGCAGGCGCCAGAGAAGTAATTCTTAGCAAACTGCCCAGCTAACCTGGGCACTCAGCCCCTCCTAACCTGCTGCCCTCCTGGTGTTCAGGACTACAATTCCCATTGGCCCCAGCCAGCACAGCTGATAGGAGCTAGTCCAAAATATCTGGAGGGTACCAGGCTGGGCTAGCGAGGCCCTGCTTGAATGTCTGTCTCGTGGCTGGTGCGTGAAAGGGTAGCCCATAGGCCCAGGGCTTGGAAGTGCCTTGCCTGCCCTCTCCCTCCAATTACTTGGAGCTGGGTGAAAGCTGTGCTCTTGCATTGAGGCCTCATTTGGGTGCCAGAACGCTCCTGCCTGCTCCTTGGTGACAGTTTGGCCCTTCAGATCATGAAAATAGTTACCTGGGCAGGATTGGTGGCAGGACACAGCACAAGCAATTAAAAGGATTTTTATGGATAAAATTCTTCTCAGCCTAATAGGAGGGATCCATATTCTGTGCTCCTACCCACGTCTGTCATGTCAAACAAGCCCAAACCAATTCATCCTGAGCATGAGGGAATTCCTATGTGAGGAGCATGAAGTGCCTGCTGTCAGAGGGAAATGACTTTGTGATCCTCTTAGCAATGATTTGGGATGATCAATAAAAGTGCAAGATCTGTAGGGTAAGAGGAGTGAAGAAGATGTGAGTGTGCTCTACCCTTAAAAACCTCAAGTTTTTCTTTTCTTGATGGGTTTTTAACATAATGTAAAAGATTGTGCTACAGGCAGAGGGGTCTCCCGTTTGCTGGCTTGGTGGAATACTCTTATAGGCTTCTAAAGCTGAGGTTTCAGAGTTCCCATTCTAATCAATAGGAGGGGAGGGTGCTCCACTGCATGTTTCTTTGGTGAATGGGAAGCACATGATTGTCTTTGCTTCCCTCTGCCCTCAGCAGAGAAGAAGATGAGTGAGGCTGAAAAACCCAGGAAAAGAAAGTAAGCTATACTGGGCAAGGCTCACCTTTGTGGAATTGGCGTTGCTCTTAGGAAGACTTCATGGGACTGGAAAAAATGGGATACCAATATGCTACATAAAAAGTCTTCACTACTCCTGTGGCATGGAAGTGGAAGCAGGAAAATAAATTTACACTTTCCAAGTTCATGAGTGAATTATAAGCAATAAAGATGTGAGACAGTCTCAGCTCAAAAGTTTTTTTCTAGTGTTTCTTACAGCTTTTTCTACCCTCAAATCCTTATTTAAGTAATAAAATACTTAAATATTTCAAGTTAATTCTTCTGTTTTATTCTACAAATGTGCACTTAACTGCATTCTTACATAAAGCAGCAAGAAGGGTTCCCCCCCCCCTTTAATTGGGTGGGGATTGAGGCTTTATTGTAAGGAACGCGGGTGGCGCTGTGGTCTAAACCAGAGTCTAGGGGTAAGCTCCTGTTGCTCGGTCCCTGCTCCTGCCAACCTAGCAGTTTGAAAGCACGTCAAAGTGCAAGTAGATAAATAGGTACCTTTCCAGCGGGAAGGTAAATGGTGTTTCTGCTCTGGTTCGCCAGAAGCGGCTTGGCGTGCTGGCCACATGACCCAGAAGCTGTCTGCAGACAAACGCCAGCTCCTCGGCCAGTAAAGCGAGATGAGCGCTGCAACCCCAGAGTCGTCTGCGACTGGACTTAACAGTCAGGGGTCCCTTTACCTTTACCTCTGAGGCTTTATTGCAGTCAATCTGTGAAAGGGCTGTGCCCTTTTATTCATTTCAGTGAACTTGTGCTGCAGAACCTCCAGGTACCCTCATTGCTTTCAAGATGGGAAGGGCCACCACTCGATAGCAGAACAGCAATGGTTGCTTTGCATGCAGTCTCCTGTATCTCTAAAGGGGAAATACATTTTGCCAGAGATCTGGAAACGTGGCTGCCTGTTGGAGATGCTACCTGCTAGATGAACCTAGTCTTGTCACAGGTAGGTAGCTGTGTTGGTCTGCCGTAGTCGAAACAAAATAAAAAAATTCCTTCCAGTAGCACCTTAGAGACCAAGTTAGCTATTGGTATGAGCTTTCATGTGCATGGATTTTTAAAATTTTGTTTCAACTAGTCTTGTCAGTATCAGTCAGCCTTATGTCCATCTGTTGAATAGCATGACCCAAACATACTACCAGGGCTAGAGTTGCATACATTGCCCTGTTTCTGTGATGCCTTTGTTCGTTTTACACTTTGTAGAGAACAAAAGAACAGTGTGGCTGCAGGCTGAGTCAATAAAAGACCTATTACTGTAGGTAGCCAAGACACAGGTTTGGGGAAGACTGGCCTTTGGGGTCCAGGCCTTTTGCAGGGCATTCAAAACACCCTCAGCTGAAAGGGAATGTGGAGCAGCGGTTATGGTCCACCACAGCATTTTAAAGCCACATTTAACAACTCTGAGGCTCCAAGTATACATGATGGTGATTGTGTATTTTAATGGAAATTCTGGTTTAATGTAGGTTGTGTACTTGATAGCAACACGGTTTATCCTCAATGCTACCCTCCTCAGCTCATTTCCCAGGTGCATAGAGAAACAGCTGCTTAAAGATAGGGGAGCAGTTGGGGATGATCTTAATTGCGAAAACGGCCGCGTGCTGCTGCAGTCAAGTTTGCACAAACCCCCTTCAATCTGCACGCCCCTTTTCAAACAACTAAGCTTGGATTTCCCTGCCTAGGTCGAAGTACGTATTGGATTTAATAGTCCTTTCCTGGCTGCTACCATTTGGTTGAAGGCGGTGGGGGAAATCAATTGTCCAGCTGATGCCACAGTTTCCTCTGCGTCTCATTTCCACCCCTGCGGAGGCGACGGCGGTAAAAGAACCCGGAAGGGGCCTTTCCATCCCGTTGGCAGCCCTTTCCCTTCCCAGCCAAACCAGCCCACCGCCCTCCCTCCATCGCCTTTGCAAAAGGGCTACCGGAGCGCCTGCCCGCCCCGCGTGCTCTTGGGCATTAGGCCGCCTGCGCTTTGCACCCGGGGTCAGCAACCGTTTGCCCGGCGGTGGCCATGAGTGTCCCGGACGCAGTGCGCCTGCTGGACGCCGCGGATTTCGCGGCCCGGAAGCACGCGGCGCAGCGCCGCAAAGACCCGGAAGGCACGCCGTACATCAACCACCCCATCGGTGAGCAGTTTCCTGAGCATGTGCAGTGTGCGCTTTATTCCGCAATTCAGTGGGGAAGGGGGCTTCACTTCCAGCTCGTCTTCTGTTGTGGATGCATTAGTTGAGATTCCTACATTGCAGGGGGTTGGACTAGATGGCCCTCGGGATCCCTTCCATTTCTACAATTCTATTATTCCTTTTAGAAGCTAAGTACTGCCCCTCTGTCTAACACCCCCCACAGGTGTAGCCCAGATACTGGCACAGGAAGCTGGAATAACGGAAATTGCAATACTACAGGTAAGGGCACCCCCTCTCCCCCGCTGATATTTTCTCTGTCCTAGTTTAAAGCTTCCAAGCACAGCTTGGCAAGGCTTAGCCTGGAAAACTCACAATAAGTGTGCCATTAAGCATGTGTGAATAGCTTTGCATTCCTGCAGAGAAGTACTTCAAAGAAGAGGGCAGGGTGTTGGGGATCAAAGTCCTTTAGAAACTGAGCATCAAGAACCTCCTATTTCCAGGCTGCTCTCCTCCATGACACTGTTGAAGACACAGACACCACCTTCTCAGAGATCGAGGAGCACTTCGGGGAGGAAGTGAGGCGAATTGTGGAGGAAGTGACGGATGACAAGACTTTGGTCAAGAAGGAGCGCAAGCGGCTGCAGATTGAACAAGCAGCTCAGAGCAGCCGAGAGGCCAAGCTGGTGAAACTGGCAGACAAGCTGTACAACCTGCGAGATCTCAACCGCTGCACACCCCGAGGTCCGTCTCTGGCCAGCCACCTTGGGTAGCCCTTCTGAAAGGAGGGGGAGTAGCTGGCATGGGATGGCAGGATCCTTGCTGTCCTTTTCTGTGTTACAGAACAGGAGCTCAATAACTAATTTATTAAGACTTCTGCTCTGTATCTATAATCTGGTGGGGGCAGGATCTAGTACAGCATTTTAAAATATTCAGCTTGGACAAAACATAATACAAAACCTTCCTATGCTGTACACAGTTCCGGCCACACACAAAAATGAGTTCAAATATCAAAGTCATGTAGCTTTTCCCAAATTAGTCTCTGGTGAACACTGCTGTCAACTGAAGAGTCAAGCACCTATGAGAACAGATTTAGCTAGTAGACATCAATGCTGTTGTGGAACAGGTCAGGGAGATCACACAGTCTCCACCCCACTTATTGAGCGGCTCTGATCCCCTCCTTAAAGTAGCAAAGCAAGTCCAGCTGTCACAATGTGTGGCAAAGCAGTAGTCAGGCTTGTGTATGGATGCAAGTGTGAATTTCTGACTTGTGGGTTTGTCTCTCTTTGGCCAGGCTGGTCCGAGAACCGAGTCCAGGAGTACTTCCACTGGGCTTCGAAGGTAGTGACGGGCTTGCGCGGGACAAACCCGGTGTTGGAGGAAAAATTGTGGCTGCTGTTTAAAGCCAGAGGGCTACCTGAGTGACATGGCTAAGCTGCAGCCAAATCCACTGGAAGAGAAAGGAGGCCACAAAGCTTGCTGAGCTACTAGGTAAAAAATGGAGAAGAATTTCGCCAGTTTGTCTGCAGTCCCACTTACTCTTATCCTGCCTCACTAGGTACTCTCAGTGTAAAGTGATTCCTTCTACATATATTTGGAATACTCTGAAAGTATGCTGGAAACAAGGCAATCTCGCCAGATGCCTTATCCATCCTCTGGAACAAGTGTAGACATTATGGCATACAAGGGGAGAGGATGAAAGTAGCTCACTTCTTTCTCTGCCCCCCACCCCACCCCCAGTCTCTGCAAATAAAGAAGGCGGCAACCTAAGGGTACCACTTGGCCTACTCCTTTCCCCACATGGCCTGGCTATTGCAGCACCTTTGGAGGGCAGGACTACAAAGAACTCTCTCACCCCTGCAGTTCAAGCACAGCATCCTTCTCTCAGCTCATTATGGGCATCTAGAGAAGATCACATTGCACTATGGTTCCTGGAGCATAATGGAGTGTCTCCGTTCCCAGGATCTTACTTCTCTCACCCACCCACCTTGCTTGGCTGGATAGCAAAAGCATGTATGTTGAGAGTGGTTCTCAATAAAAGCCTTGAGCAAGTTGTGACTCCGCATTGGCATCAGTCTATAAAACCTGCAAGGAGGTGGGTTTATTCCCTGGCTATCGGTGAGGGGTAGTGGGAGGGTTTCCAGCTTCAAGGATGGGGTGAGTGGGAGTGCTGCCCCTGGTATAAATCACCAAAACAAAGTTTCTCCAGATGATAATGCTTTTCTCCTTGGGCTCATGGAACTGACCAGGCATTAATGCACCAATGAAGTGGCTGGCCTGACAACGTTAGAAAAGGAAACTGCCCCAAGGGTGGTCACAGTTTGCTTTGGGACTAAGGAGGGGAGAGATCTCCGAGAGGTGAACGCTCGCCTAGGAAGGGAGCTGGCTGGGTTGGGGGGGCAGCCCCCCTCCCCCAGGGATGGGGCAGTATGCACCGAAGCAGCCTGCTGCGAGGAAGACAAGTAGCGTTCCCTCTTAGCAGGGAAACAAATGCGGCCGCGGTTGGCTCTGCCCTCCCAGCATCACCGGGCAGCCAATGAGAAGTTTCCCCACCACCTCAACGAGGAAAAATGGGGGAGTCGGAACAATAATAAGAGCGGACGAGGGCGCGAACGGAAGCCGGCTGGGCCGCGTTGTCATGGCAGCAGGTCCATTTCCGGGCTGTCCCGGCAACAACAGCGTTCGCTGTGGAGGGTTCCGGGAAGGAAGGGCGACGTCCTACCCTACCAGCCATGGCATCCCCCGGCCACCGCGACGCCCCGGAGCTGCCGGACTTCAGTCTTCTGAAGCGCCTGGCGCGGGACCAGCTGGTCTACTTGCTGGAGCAGGTGGGATGGGCGGGTACTGGGGCGAAAGCGAAAGCTGCTCCCCATGGCCCTTGCGTGGCAATGACGCTTCGCCTCTTTCTCCGTCTCGCTGCAGCTCCCCGGCAAGAAAGATCTGTTCATCGAGGCCGACCTGATGAGCCCCCTCGACCGCATCGCCAACGTCTCCATCCTCAAGGTGCGCGAGGAGCTCCCCGCTTGCTTCCTCTTCCTGCTCTTTCAGGCAGGCAGTAATTCGGCAGGAGCAGCTTCTCGCCCCCGCCCCCGTGTAGTACAGACAGCGGTGGGAAGGCTTCCCATGTTGCGACTGCCCGGGCTTTAAGGCAGCT